TTGGAAATTGTGGCTGCTGAGAAAGGAGGAGCAACATTTGCATGTTAGGAGGAGGCATCTCAGCCATACTTCTTTTTTAAAAATTGGCACCCTTTACTCCAGCACAGGTACCCCCTTTCCCTTCAACACAAGGTCCTCCTTGGTCCTTCCAGCCACCAAGACCCTGTGACTCTGGAAATATGTCACAAGGTTTACAGCTAGCACCACTCTGTTGCCACTGGGTACAATCAGCTGAACCACAGCTGGGGGCCTCGGTGTCCAGGCGGCGTGGTTTGGACTCATGACAGCCTAGGTCTCCTGGGTATGGAATTGGATTTGGACCCAAGCATGGGCTAGGAGAGTGCCGAGCCTCCACACACGGTTCTGGGCTTGGACAGGGCTCTGGAGGGGGAACTGACTCTGGAGACGGGCAAGGTTCTGGGAGCTCACAGTGCTGTGGACACGGACATGGCTCTGCTGGTTCACATTGTACTGGGCGAGGACGTGGGGCTGGATGTGGTTCTGGATGTGATTCTGGACACAGACAGGGTTCCAAAAGTCGCCGTGGTGGAGGACAGGGGTGGGGCTCTGGGTTTGTGCATCGTTCTGGGCATGGGTATGGACGTGGAGCAGGATGTGGGCATCTCTGCAGTGATGGCTTCAGACATTGATCCAGACGCCGGGCTGGGTGGAAGCTTGGGAGTGGTTGTGACTCGACACGTGGCCTCAGCTCTGGGCAGGAAGCACCCCAAGAAGATCGTGGGGCAGAGCTCTCAGAACAGCATCTGATGGGAGGAATCTGAGTAGAACACTTTCCTGGGGGAACCTGCTTGGGGCAGCAGGGGGAGAAAATCTCTATTCGGCACTTGGGTCCAGATCTCTGAGAGCTGCCTGAAGTGGGACCCTGAGGACAGCCACTACTATAGATGGGCTCAGAGCGGCGGGGTGGGGTGCAGTAGTTATAGAAACCTGCAGAACATATTGATGGCAGGCGGCTTCTATTGTAGGGCTCAGCACATCGTGGTGGGGAACAGTTGCGGTAAGAACGCTGCAGCTGGTGAGGAGGGAGGCATCTGCTCGTGCTCTGAGAGTAACGCTGCGTGGTGAAGCTCCTATAAGAGCTCTGAGTCTGGCACTGGGGTGCGCAAGTGCTAAATGAAGCCCGAGATTGACGCTGGGGAGCATGGTTGCCGTAGGAGTCCTGATATTGACGCTGGGGCAGGAATCTTTGCTGAGTCTGGTACACTGCAGGGCAAACTACATGAGGCTGAACAGGCTGAGGACAGGCTACATGGGTCTGGACTGGGCATTCCACACAACAGCTGTCTGTATAACAAGTTGGAGCACATTCCACATAGCAGATCTGAACAGGGGGTGGGGCTTCACATTGCACGTGGGAAACCTCAGGTTGGCACTGGCCCTGGCATTGAGCACAGGAGATTTGAGATTGGCATGGAGCCTGGCACTTCACCTGGGTGGTCTGGGACTGACATGGAGCCTGGTATTTCACCTGGGAAACTTGAATGGGGGATGGTGCGGGGCATTCCACAATTTGCATCTCAGAAGGGGCTTGAGCCACTACCTGCCTCTTGGCACAAGTGGACTTAGAGGGGCAAAGAGAGGAACCCTTCACACAGCACTGGGGGAGCAGCAGGCAACACTGAATCTGCTTCCGGTCACACATCGCTCTGATGCAGGTGGGTGAACAGAATCTGAGGGTGGAAAGACTAGAGTCAGGAGGGTGAGAGTTGAAGAGAATCCAGGACCAAGGGGAAGACTCTTTGCTTCTTCCTTGGCTTTTTCTCCCCAGCCCTAAATCTTTACCCAAGAATCCTTACTGAGTTATCTGGACCCAAGATTAATCACCACTAGTCATGAGATCTGCCTTGGATCTGCCAAACGACCTGACTCAGGTCCTGATGTAAGTAAGAGGCCTTCAAAGGCACAGCCAGCATTGCAGGTGCCCAGGGGCTCCCTCAGGAGGGTGGGCTACCAGCATCCAGAACAAGAGGGCACTGATGAAAATAGAACCCCTAGGGCTTCCCCAGGTCCAAAGTGGTGAGTGGGAGCTCTGCTGGAAGTAGAGATAATACCATGTTCCCAAGACTGCAGTCCAATGTGGGAACTCCACACCCACAGGAGCTGGGATATCCTCACATGCATGCAGTGGCAGCACGCACTTGTCCAAGCAGGTAAAAACTCACATACGGGAAAAGATTTCCGAGTGCTTGTTCCCAGCACTCCAGTACCATGTGCACTCAAAGCACCCACTGGAAAGTAAAAGCATGTAAGCAGGGCAAACCTAGCTTAAAAGATTTATTTCTCTATATTCAATCCTTTTAGGTGAATTTGTTTAAACAGGCCCTCAACATACACATACAAAACACATGAGGCTTGGAAAGGCTCAGAACCAGCATGGCAACTTGTCCAGGCAAGCTGCTATTCAATCACCTGAAGTGAAACAGTTATCTTAGCTTCAGCAATGCTTTCTCCCCAGCCCCTCTGAGAGGCAGGGCACAGTTACCCAAAATGGGGTAACCCAGAAAGCGCAAGTTTCCAAGTTACATGACTGACATTCAGCCACGCATAAAGCTCTACACAGCAAGAATATTGTCCCTGTGGCTGGGGAATGCAGGCGGACTCCACCACCACAGGCAGCCAGGGAGAGCAGAGGGCAGTCCTCAGTCTGCTCTCCTCCCCAAACTCACATACAGGAAGCCCCATTGACCAGCACAGCACGGGGGCTGATTTGACAAACAGCTCATCCAACAAAATATTTCTCAATAAGTTTTTGAAATGCTGAAAATGCTTCAAATGAAGAGTAAAACGTTCCATTATTTTATAGGGAATATATAAATACATACACTTTTGGAAACAGTAAGCCTCCTACATACAACTCTGCTTACAAGGTGTAAATTATTAATTCATCTTTTCCAAGGAAACAGGTCCTGATGAGAGAAAATGAAACCTGATGATGAGGTCAGGGTTATCCCCTGAAAGCCCACCAGACTTTTCTCCTCAGGGTGATGTACCATTCTTCCTCTGCTCCCAGCTTCTCCCCTCACTATGTCACACTCCTGTGAATCTGACACTCCCTAAGCATCATCTACACCCCAATCCTAGGACCCAAACCCTAGACTTACCCTCCTCACAGGCAGGCAGTCATTCAGGCTGAGGCATCTGGACTGAGGGCTGTCTTTATATAAGGGATTCAGGGTCTGACTTAGACCATGAGACAACTGGTTGGCATCTGCCTGGCTCATGATCTAGGATGGCATTCCATTGGCCATTCCCCTCCCTGTGTGCCTGTCCTTGCAGTCACCTACAGAATGTGGGAGTGTCTCACCTCAGTGTTGAAGCTTCTGGACTATGAAGGAGCAGATTCTTTTTTGATTCCTCCTTCTTCATCCTATCAGGTTTTTTCTTCCATGCATAGAAGACCTGGTGGTGGGGATGATGAAGGGTGGTAAAGGTATCTTCTCTCCTGAAAGATTATTCCAGTCCCTTACTTTCCTCTTTGTCTCAGATTCTCACTAGATAGGTATAAAAGAGGAAATGTTCCATAACTTGGAGTAATAAAAACCACCTCAAAGATAAAGGAAACTTTACAGAATGAAGAGAACATTGGGTTGGTGCTGAGTCTAACATCCCAGCTTGACTATGTACAGCTGGGTGAGTGAACTTTCTAATGAACCTAAGTATTAATTTACTTACCTGCAAAATGGAGATATTAAATCTGTCCTGAGTTTTTGTGAGTATTAAGGCAATTGTTTTATTCAAAAGCATCCAGCCAAAAATGACATTCAATATATCCAACATCCACTCAGAGTAAATACTGACCATAAGCAACAACACAACTATATTGATGGCTGCCTGCTTTATCCCAGTCCTGAGCTGAGCAACCTGAAGGCTTTACTGCAGGTGCTCAGCTAATGCTATAGAACAGTCCTAGAAGACAGCATAGTGCTAGACAGGAATAATAAACTGGCATCCTGTGAGCTAGATACAGTCAGGATGGGTTACCTTTTTATCTTTTGCCTCTATAATTTTTGCTTACATGATTTTGCAAGTAATCATTAATACTTAGAAATAGAAAGATTTTTCTTAAGATTCCAGACATCCAGCTTTTCTTCTCAAATCAAAAGATTTGGCATAAATGAGAACAAATTCCCATCAGCCAACCTGGTTAACAGCTGCCCCTCAGAAAGGGTACATACCTTTATATCCTACAATTCTACATTATTCTTTACTATATCCATAGTATAAAACAAAGTGTAAGTTTTCCTTTGTTATTTTACTTGTGCTTTTATTTTTCTTCTGTGAAATTAAAGGAAAGTGAAATACTTCTTCTGCCTAGATCATTTCACTTATTTATGTAGCCAGCCAGCCCATGTAGGCATTTAAGATTCTGACCAGACTGTGAGCAGAAACTTCAGATTAGACTGATTTGGGTTTCAATCTGAGCTCTAATCCTCGTCAATGGGGTGAAAGCTACTTAACCTCCATAAGCTTCAGATTCCTTATCTAAAAAATGGAAAGATGTAAAAGAAGAAGGAAAGAGGGAAGGAAGGAAGGGAGGAGGTAGGGAAGGAGGGAAGGAAGGAAGGAAGGAAGGAAGGAAGGAAGGAAGGAAGGAAGGAAGGAAGGAAGGAAGGAAAAAATTTAATATTGAGGTCAATTTATTACTGTAGAATTCCTCCATTCATTACAAATATCTTTTAACACAAAGAAGATGTTAGAAGTTGTATGGCCTCTAGAAAAATCGCTTAATTTCTCTGGATCTCAATTGGACTAGACAAATTCTGAAGTTATTTCTTGTCCTAATGTTCTGGTCCTAATATATGTCTATTCAAATTTTAAAGGTAGGGATAGAGTTAGAAGAGAGAGAGAAAAAAAGAGATAAAACTATAGATGGAGATAGAGTAATGAAAGAACTAGATAATTGAATATAAAGCTGAGATGATAGTGTCAGCAATAGATATATGTATAGAAAGATGAGAAGAGAAATTTGTAAATAAGATTTATATAGATTGTTCATAGGGACACACAGGTGAAATTAAGATTTGTGGGGTGCAGTAGTTATAGAAACCTGCAGAACATATTGATGGCAGGCGGCTTCTATTGTAGGGCTCAGCACATCGTGGTGGGGAACAGTTGCGGTAAGAACGCTGCAGCTGGTGAGGAGGGAGGCATCTGCTCGTGCTCTGAGAGTAACGCTGCGTGGTGAAGCTCCTATAAGAGCTCTGAGTCTGGCACTGGGGTGCGCAAGTGCTAAATGAAGCCCGAGATTGACGCTGGGGAGCATGGTTGCCGTAGGAGTCCTGATATTGACGCTGGGGCAGGAATCTTTGCTGAGTCTGGTACACTGCAGGGCAAACTACATGAGGCTGAACAGGCTGAGGACAGGCTACATGGGTCTGGACTGGGCATTCCACACAACAGCTGTCTGTATAACAAGTTGGAGCACATTCCACATAGCAGATCTGAACAGGGGGTGGGGCTTCACATTGCACGTGGGAAACCTCAGGTTGGCACTGGCCCTGGCATTGAGCACAGGAGATTTGAGATTGGCATGGAGCCTGGCACTTCACCTGGGTGGTCTGGGACTGACATGGAGCCTGGTATTTCACCTGGGAAACTTGAATGGGGGATGGTGCGGGGCATTCCACAATTTGCATCTCAGAAGGGGCTTGAGCCACTACCTGCCTCTTGGCACAAGTGGACTTAGAGGGGCAAAGAGAGGAACCCTTCACACAGCACTGGGGGAGCAGCAGGCAACACTGAATCTGCTTCCGGTCACACATCGCTCTGATGCAGGTGGGTGAACAGAATCTGAGGGTGGAAAGACTAGAGTCAGGAGGGTGAGAGTTGAAGAGAATCCAGGACCAAGGGGAAGACTCTTTGCTTCTTCCTTGGCTTTTTCTCCCCAGCCCTAAATCTTTACCCAAGAATCCTTACTGAGTTATCTGGACCCAAGATTAATCACCACTAGTCATGAGATCTGCCTTGGATCTGCCAAACGACCTGACTCAGGTCCTGATGTAAGTAAGAGGCCTTCAAAGGCACAGCCAGCATTGCAGGTGCCCAGGGGCTCCCTCAGGAGGGTGGGCTACCAGCATCCAGAACAAGAGGGCACTGATGAAAATAGAACCCCTAGGGCTTCCCCAGGTCCAAAGTGGTGAGTGGGAGCTCTGCTGGAAGTAGAGATAATACCATGTTCCCAAGACTGCAGTCCAATGTGGGAACTCCACACCCACAGGAGCTGGGATATCCTCACATGCATGCAGTGGCAGCACGCACTTGTCCAAGCAGGTAAAAACTCACATACGGGAAAAGATTTCCGAGTGCTTGTTCCCAGCACTCCAGTACCATGTGCACTCAAAGCACCCACTGGAAAGTAAAAGCATGTAAGCAGGGCAAACCTAGCTTAAAAGATTTATTTCTCTATATTCAATCCTTTTAGGTGAATTTGTTTAAACAGGCCCTCAACATACACATACAAAACACATGAGGCTTGGAAAGGCTCAGAACCAGCATGGCAACTTGTCCAGGCAAGCTGCTATTCAATCACCTGAAGTGAAACAGTTATCTTAGCTTCAGCAATGCTTTCTCCCCAGCCCCTCTGAGAGGCAGGGCACAGTTACCCAAAATGGGGTAACCCAGAAAGCGCAAGTTTCCAAGTTACATGACTGACATTCAGCCACGCATAAAGCTCTACACAGCAAGAATATTGTCCCTGTGGCTGGGGAATGCAGGCGGACTCCACCACCACAGGCAGCCAGGGAGAGCAGAGGGCAGTCCTCAGTCTGCTCTCCTCCCCAAACTCACATACAGGAAGCCCCATTGACCAGCACAGCACGGGGGCTGATTTGACAAACAGCTCATCCAACAAAATATTTCTCAATAAGTTTTTGAAATGCTGAAAATGCTTCAAATGAAGAGTAAAACGTTCCATTATTTTATAGGGAATATATAAATACATACACTTTTGGAAACAGTAAGCCTCCTACATACAACTCTGCTTACAAGGTGTAAATTATTAATTCATCTTTTCCAAGGAAACAGGTCCTGATGAGAGAAAATGAAACCTGATGATGAGGTCAGGGTTATCCCCTGAAAGCCCACCAGACTTTTCTCCTCAGGGTGATGTACCATTCTTCCTCTGCTCCCAGCTTCTCCCCTCACTATGTCACACTCCTGTGAATCTGACACTCCCTAAGCATCATCTACACCCCAATCCTAGGACCCAAACCCTAGACTTACCCTCCTCACAGGCAGGCAGTCATTCAGGCTGAGGCATCTGGACTGAGGGCTGTCTTTATATAAGGGATTCAGGGTCTGACTTAGACCATGAGACAACTGGTTGGCATCTGCCTGGCTCATGATCTAGGATGGCATTCCATTGGCCATTCCCCTCCCTGTGTGCCTGTCCTTGCAGTCACCTACAGAATGTGGGAGTGTCTCACCTCAGTGTTGAAGCTTCTGGACTATGAAGGAGCAGATTCTTTTTTGATTCCTCCTTCTTCATCCTATCAGGTTTTTTCTTCCATGCATAGAAGACCTGGTGGTGGGGATGATGAAGGGTGGTAAAGGTATCTTCTCTCCTGAAAGATTATTCCAGTCCCTTACTTTCCTCTTTGTCTCAGATTCTCACTAGATAGGTATAAAAGAGGAAATGTTCCATAACTTGGAGTAATAAAAACCACCTCAAAGATAAAGGAAACTTTACAGAATGAAGAGAACATTGGGTTGGTGCTGAGTCTAACATCCCAGCTTGACTATGTACAGCTGGGTGAGTGAACTTTCTAATGAACCTAAGTATTAATTTACTTACCTGCAAAATGGAGATATTAAATCTGTCCTGAGTTTTTGTGAGTATTAAGGCAATTGTTTTATTCAAAAGCATCCAGCCAAAAATGACATTCAATATATCCAACATCCACTCAGAGTAAATACTGACCATAAGCAACAACACAACTATATTGATGGCTGCCTGCTTTATCCCAGTCCTGAGCTGAGCAACCTGAAGGCTTTACTGCAGGTGCTCAGCTAATGCTATAGAACAGTCCTAGAAGACAGCATAGTGCTAGACAGGAATAATAAACTGGCATCCTGTGAGCTAGATACAGTCAGGATGGGTTACCTTTTTATCTTTTGCCTCTATAATTTTTGCTTACATGATTTTGCAAGTAATCATTAATACTTAGAAATAGAAAGATTTTTCTTAAGATTCCAGACATCCAGCTTTTCTTCTCAAATCAAAAGATTTGGCATAAATGAGAACAAATTCCCATCAGCCAACCTGGTTAACAGCTGCCCCTCAGAAAGGGTACATACCTTTATATCCTACAATTCTACATTATTCTTTACTATATCCATAGTATAAAACAAAGTGTAAGTTTTCCTTTGTTATTTTACTTGTGCTTTTATTTTTCTTCTGTGAAATTAAAGGAAAGTGAAATACTTCTTCTGCCTAGATCATTTCACTTATTTATGTAGCCAGCCAGCCCATGTAGGCATTTAAGATTCTGACCAGACTGTGAGCAGAAACTTCAGATTAGACTGATTTGGGTTTCAATCTGAGCTCTAATCCTCGTCAATGGGGTGAAAGCTACTTAACCTCCATAAGCTTCAGATTCCTTATCTAAAAAATGGAAAGATGTAAAAGAAGAAGGAAAGAGGGAAGGAAGGAAGGGAGGAGGTAGGGAAGGAGGGAAGGAAGGAAGGAAGGAAGGAAGGAAGGAAGGAAGGAAGGAAGGAAGGAAGGAAGGAAGGAAAAAATTTAATATTGAGGTCAATTTATTACTGTAGAATTCCTCCATTCATTACAAATATCTTTTAACACAAAGAAGATGTTAGAAGTTGTATGGCCTCTAGAAAAATCGCTTAATTTCTCTGGATCTCAATTGGACTAGACAAATTCTGAAGTTATTTCTTGTCCTAATGTTCTGGTCCTAATATATGTCTATTCAAATTTTAAAGGTAGGGATAGAGTTAGAAGAGAGAGAGAAAAAAAGAGATAAAACTATAGATGGAGATAGAGTAATGAAAGAACTAGATAATTGAATATAAAGCTGAGATGATAGTGTCAGCAATAGATATATGTATAGAAAGATGAGAAGAGAAATTTGTAAATAAGATTTATATAGATTGTTCATAGGGACACACAGGTGAAATTAAGATTAAAATGTATGATTCTTCATACCACACCAAAATTACTTCAAAATAGGTCAAAACTTAAATGTAAGAGCTAAAACTATAAAACTCTCAAAAGAAAATATAGGCCTAAATCTGGATGGGGTTGGATTAGGCATGGAATTCTTAGATATGACCCTGAAAGTATAAGTGGCAAAAGAAAAAAGTAAATAAATTAGGCTTCATAAAAACTAAAAACATGCTGCAAATGATACCATTAAGAAAGTGAAAAGATGATCCACAGAGAGCAAGAAAATATTTGCAAGTCATTTACCTGAAAAGGGACTTGTACCTAGAATATTATAAAGAACACTTATAATTCAGAATAGAAAGATATCACAACTTAAACATGGACAGTGGATTTGAATGGATGTTTCTACAAAGATGATATACAAATGGCCAATAAGCACATGAAAAAATACTCAATATCATTAGTTATCAAGGAAATGCAAATCAAAACCACAATACTTCATACACATTAGCATGACTCTAACCAAAAAAAAAAAAAAAAAAGCAAGTGTTGTGAGGATATGGAGAAATTGGAGTCCTTAGTACATTGCTGGTGGGAATGTGCATGATACTGACACCGTGGTAGCAGTTTGGCAGTTCCTCAGAAGTTAAACACACTGATGCTCCAAACCACTCCTAGCTAAATGGAAATTCCACCAAGTAAAATGAAAACATACATCCAGTCAAAAAATTGTACATGAATGTATCATAACATCATTCACAATAACTGCAATGTGACAACAGTTACCCCAGGGGCCATCAACTGACAAATGGATAAACACAAAGTAGTATACTGACACAATGGAATATTAATTTATGATAAAAAAGGGTGAAGTTCTGACACATGCTACAGCATGGATGAACCTCATAAACATTTCACTAAGTGAAACAAGCCAGCCACAAAAGACTACATACCATATGATTCCATTTATATAAAATGTCCAGAATAGGCAAATCTGTAGAAACAGAAAGTAGGGCTTGAGGGAATGGGATGTGACTGTTAATGACCATGGGATTTCATTTTGAGGAACTGAGATACTCTAAAATTAGATTATAGTGATAATTATATAGCTCTGTGAATATACTAAAAACATTGAACTGTCACTTTATTTAAATGAACTATATGATATGTGAATTGTGTCTCAACAAAGATTATGTATATATATATGTGTTTACATATATACGCATATATACATATTGTATAGACAGATACACACAGCAATATATTCTTAAATCTTGGTGAAACCTAAATAACATTCATGAAGCAAAAAATTACAAGCTCCTTGAGATCTAACCTCTCTGCCATACTTGATACCTACTACAATACCTCTAAGGATCAGTTACTGCTTGAACCTCAGTCAAGCATCTTCCCTAAGCATCTTGAGAATACAAATCACCCAGACTGACCTGTCCACTGGACGCTGACCTGTAATCCAAGAAAATAGTGTATTCTCCTTGATGATGACTACCTCTTTATATTTTCCCTATTAATAGTCATTATCTCAAACATTCTATGATAAATGGATAAGATCTCAGTTAGTGAAGAGTATCTTATTAAATCCAATTTGCTCAACAAGTATTTATAAATCACCTATCAGATTCCTAGAATTGGGTTAAGAATAGTCATCATCCATTCATTCAACATATACTCTCTGAGCAACTACTTCCAGCCTCTACACTCAAGGAGCTTACAGTCTAATAAAAACATACAGATGAATAGATATTTGTAATGTGGTGTGAAAAGTAAGGGCTTTGATAAATATAAGCACAGAGTAGGAGCATAGACAGGAGGCACACTGCCTTCCAAAGACTTCACTTTCTCACTGGAGAAAAAGCTACACATATAGACTAGTTGGAGGATGGGACTGTGAGCCCCTAAATGGGAAACTGGGTGACCCGCAGCATAAAAAGGCAATTGTCTGTGATAAAGTTGATAGATATAGCAAATAAAAATACAGGATACCCAGTTAAGTATCAGTTTCAGATAGACTACAAATATATTCAATATGTGTATGTCCCATGGGACTAGAGCAATTAAGAAAGATATTTCAATACCAATACAGATTAAAGGGATGATGGTGATAATGTTGATGATGTTGTCTCCCATGCATGTACTTATTCATCAGCTACTGGGTATTTACTGTTTATAAAGCATTACGCTACACTCTGGGGGTACAGTGGTAAAATAAACAAATCTAGCTCTTGTTCTCAGAGAGTTTTTGGTATTGTAGAGAGACAAATGTTAATCAGAGGGCCACAAATAAAAAGGGCAATGACATCCCTGATTAGTGTTTGACAGGAGAGGTCCACAGAGTAATGAGAGCTGCCAAGAGCTGGGAGTGCACAGGATGGGGGACAGCTAACATGGCTAAGGAGAACAGAGAAGACTTTCCTGAATAAGTATATGTGGGGCTGAGATCTGAAGGATAAGTAGGACCAGAAGAGTATGAAGAATATTCTAGAGTGAGGAAACAGTGTGTACAGTGGGGGATAGGAGGGACTGTGGCATACTCACAGAACTGAAAGCAGCCAGTGAGTGTGAGGAGGAAGGTGCCACCTGTTTTACATGCTCAGATCCTAGCCACTGGTTTAAGCAGAAGTGCGACAGGATCAGACACTCAGTGCTCTGTGAGGGGTGGTGTGGAGGTTGCCAGAGCAGAAGCAGGGACACAGGTATTTAGACTATTTGTCTTAATCCAAGAATTGGATTATTGACTCTATACTAGTGTTAGGCACTCTAAGACACAATCAACACTTTCTTATTTGATCTCAAGAAGTAAAACCAGCAGGTGGGAAGGCTGAGTGTCCTAGGGAAATGGCAAAGTCATTGGGGGCAGACACACTTGGACTTATTCTGTGGCTCTTCCTCCAACCAATTCTGTGGCAGAGCAAGTCACTTAGTCTCTCTGAGCTTTGGATAGTTTCATCATATATAAAGTGTAAATAATATCTGCCTCATAGGTTGTTGTCAAGGCTAAATAAAAGGTATGGGAAGAGTCAAGTGATGAAAAGGCCCTCAATAAAGGCAATTATCATCATTATCATCATTATAACATTATTATTACTTAATATTACAATTTTATTACTTCATG